AAATGTTCGAGGATTCCAAACCAAAAAATACTTTTGAAAAAAAGGTACTAATTATGTTATTTGGATTGTGTAATAGTACAAGATTAATTGTTGAAGAGATGTGAAAAAATGTTAACCGTGCAATCGTGGTTTTGAGAAATTGAGACGGGGAAAAGGTTTACATATCTCGAATAAATTTGGTACCATATGATCCAAGACTACCCCCTCAAGTTTCAAAAAAGACAATTCCCAATAGTTTAATGTTTTGTTATGACTATTAACTAAAGTTAAGGTGAAACATTATTTTTTGTTAGATTCTCTTAACTAAGTCAGTATTCATATATGGTGAATTTTATGTTGTTACTTCACAAGTGAAGACAAATATATGATTAAAAATGTTTATTTTAGATGACAATAGAAATCCTTTCAACCATACCAAAAATATTGTATACTCTGAAGTGTTTCATAAAATTTGAATTTTAACAAGTCTTTGTTTCGTATACTTTCAATTCTTAAAAATTAAAATATTATTTATTCTACTTTGACCTTGATGTATGTAGTATTAAAAATAATGTAATAAATTTATTTTCTTTAATCCGCAAAAAATATTACATGAAAAAATAAGAATTGACAAAAAATTCGTTCGACCCCGTGCAAGGCACGGGTCAAAACACTAGTGTCTAGAAATGATAGACATTACTTGAACAATAACTAATTCTTAATAACCAAAAGTCCTAGATTGGAAATAAAAATATATAGTCCTATATTGAAAAAGTCATTATATTTTAGTCCTATTTAAGTAAATTTCTCATATTACTATTCCAATTATTGATTAAATATGTGACAACAGTAGTTAACTTAGACGATGCCTTGGCACGAAGCCTAGTCTTATACCCGTACTATTTATTTTCTTTCAGTCGAAAGCACCTAGTAATTAAGTTTATTTTAATTTTCAAATCAAATCGAGAAGACTTTCAGACCTTCCTAACCTTCGTCTAGTTAGAAAAATTAGCTAATTTCCTTCGTCCACTCTTCGAGAGACACGACACTCGGAGAAAACTAACCTTTCATTGGAAAGGTTGACTTACCGAAAAACTCAATCATCAAATGGCGTTGTTGCCGGGGAGTGACACGGTTTTAGTTTAATTTTTTTAAATTTGCTTGGGCGAAGACCGGTTTTAGTTTAATAGTTTTTGTCAATTTTTTAAACTTGTTTTTCAACATTGTAGCTTGATTTGAATTGATTTCAACCCTACATTTAATTTTTATATCAATTGGGTGTGTTTCAAGAAATTAGATTAATATAAAATATTTTTATCAACATTATAATAGTTTTAAAATGATTTTTATACGTCCGCTAGTTTTGAGATTTCAAAAATATTATAAAGTTGTACTTTAAAGTATTTTGGTTTTAGCAAGTCTAATTTATATGTCAAAGTATTAAATACTTTAAATCGAAAGATTCTACTACAATTTTGAGAAATGATTTTAATTTTTTATAATTATGGATATTCTTGGGTAAAGGTCAATGAAATGAATTAAAAAATACAAATTACATTTAAAAATTATACTTCATATTAAAGTAAAAAGAACAAATGAATTTTTATAATTGTATTTATAATTATATGTATACTCCGTATTATAAGTATTAAATTTTTTTAAAAAAATAGACATTCATGTCTTACCGGTTTGACCCGAAAACGATCCGGTCTTGGACCGGAATGGACTGAAAATTTACCGATGCAAAATATTTAGACCGGAGAGTGGCCCAGAATTTTACCGGTCTAACCCGGAACCGGTTTTTCCGGCCGACCCGGCTTTTGTACACCCCTACACGGAATTAAGGTCATAGAAATGGAATCTGATACTTTAATTCTAATTACAGTGTTTGGTAGCACACATAAATTAAATGTGTGGATTTGGAATTGAATTCTAATTCTA